GAGCACAAAATAGTCTAATAAACCTACTGTAAAAATTTTATGGCTAAAGCTATCATCAATTTGCCACAAAAATCCCTATAAATATTAAGCTAAATAATACTAAGCGTCCCTAAATGAATTAATGATTCTATCATTATCATAGATAACTGTAAACTAACTACACCAACAGATAGATAATATTTTTGTGAAACTAACAAATTTTGTTTCACTATTTTTGGACACCTACAGAATTTACTATATTTTTCTAAAGATCAGCTCAAAACTAAATTGAATAAACATTTACTAATTCCTAGGAAAAATGAAAAATCGGAATCCACCCGCGTGGCCCATCGCGGCTCGGCCCACACCCGCGCAGCGCGCACGCACACGCGACCCGCCGGCGCGACAACGACCCGCAACGCGGAGGCCCGTGTGTGCCGGCCTTTTTGCGAAAATGCCCTCGATCTAACTGCTATTCCCTAGACTCTAATGCGTCCTATTCCTATAGTCTGGACTTAAGCGATTTAGCGCTCGGAACAAACCATCTTTACCACGGCCAAGTCCTCGAGCCATCGCGCGTGCACCGGCGCGATGGCGCTGGCACTGAAAGGTCACGCCGGCCAACCGGGGCCCGCTCCAACCAAACTAGCGAGCCGAACAACACCTATGACCCTAGAGCCTACCCTAGCCGAAGCTACAGGAGCGACGGTGGCACGACCACGCCGGCCACCCTAAGCCACCACCGTGAGAGATAGCTAGCCCTAAAGCACCACTAGCGTACCCTTGTTGTTGTTGTGGGTCCGATTTGGCTGGGGATTTACCGAACCGAGCTGGCCACGTGCGACAGTGAGATGCGGCGGCACACTACGGTGACACCGTCGCGTCAGCGACCACGGCAGGCCGGTAGCGGCTAGGCTGAGGTGCGAGGGGGTGGAGGGGATCAAGGCGAAGACAAGGTGCTAAGGAATTGGATGGAGGTGGACGGTGCGAGGCTAGTTGGGGTGAGCGTCGCCGTTCGACCTTAAGATGGCTGATGGGGAAGAAGACTCCAAATTGGAGCTCTACGGTGCATGTCTACAACAGTGGCGATCACGGCGCGTAGCTAGGTTCCCACTCATTCATCTGGCGCACTCAATTGCTTAGATTAGACCGGACGCTGCGAGCTGGCTTAGGTGCGGCTCGGTGACGCTGGCGCGACGACATTAAAGGTGGAGGTGAATGGAGAGCGTAGCGTGGCGCTTGCCACTCAATAGAAGAGGACAAGGGCACAGACAGGAGGCTACACGTGCACGTACGGGGTCGACATGGCTCGTGCGGCCGTAGTGCCTTAATTGGCAAACCGACGGCGACACGGCCATGTTCGGGTGCAGTAGGCGCACGCAGCAGCAGCAGTGGCGACGACGCGACGCAGAGGAAACGTGTGCGTGCTGTGGCACGACGGTGATGGCGTGAGGCAGCATGGTGATGGGACGGCGGCGGTCCGTGGCGCGGCGGTGACAACGCGAGGCGGTGTCCAGGCGATAGCGGACCGGACAGAGCAACTGGCCCACGACGGCAACGACAAGGACACTACGGGGCAGAGCGGCCAGGCCAGCGCGGTGGCATGCGTGCGTCGGGCGGCCGGCGCGGCGACACTGAGTGCCAAGGCACGGTGACTGCATCCACGCGAGGAACTCGGCCCAAAACGTACCATGCACGCTTTTTAAAGCATCCCAAAAGCCAAATTCGATGCTTCAATTGCTAAACCACATATTTTATACTTGAGAGGGCATGTTAGGCTACTAAAACAAGCCCTAATACCCCATCACTTCTTAACCTGATTACTCTACAAAAATTGCCAAACTTAGCCTGGTCAAACCCTTTTTCGACTTAGGAAATTTGACCAAGTCTTGATTGGTTATGCGTCAAATTCAATTTCTAGCCTATTAGACCAGTTAGCTAGTGAGTTCATTATTCAACCACAGGTATTTCATCATCATCTATGAGCTTTGTACTACAAACTATATTAAAGTTCCGTATACACGTTCTATAGTGATATAACTTGACTATGAAATGTAACTTTCGTTTCACGTTTTTGTCTATCGTTTTGAGTTACGAAAATCAATCCACACACTATATCACACGCATTAACACATAACCATGATACTCATGACTTGTTTTAGCAAAAGATTTATAGTGTAACACCGAGGGTGTTACAGGCGGCACATCCACACGCTCAAGCGGACAGGGAAGGTGAAAGGACTCGAGGATGTCGACTAGAGGGGATGAATAGGTGTTTCTGAAAATTTACAAGTTAAAATGTGAAATCCATTAGGAGTGAATTGGAAATCCCAAATAAGAGTAAAACAACCCCTTAAATATAATTTAGTAAGAATACAAAGGTTATCAAACAAGCCTAGAAGCCCAACATCTGCAACACAATTAATTAGAACAACTAACAAATTTCAGCATAGGGTGCAAACTGGACTTGTCTGGTGTGCCTACCAGATCGGTACGGTATTCATGGGAACAACAAGTCCTCAGCTAAAACTTGTTTCTTTCAATCTAACTTTCACTCCATAGTTGCAGAAGGTCATGAAGGCAGGAAAGAACCATCATATCTATGATGGGGTTGCCTGACCTCCAGAGCGCGACTGCACCACCATCATATCCTTTGCGATGAAGATAGCGCGGTGAATCCATCCACAACCAGCGACCACTTTGTGCACCCGAGCCGGTAGGGTTAGGGGAACAGCGAAGTCACATGGTTGCAGGTTCAGTGGCTGCACAATCTCATCCTCTCCTGCTCATAAGCCTCCTTCTAGCACCAGTTGCTGGATGAAGCATCACCGACCTCTGGCCAACGCAACCGACCCCTAGTGGGTCGCATCCTCAAAACCTCTGCTATCTATAAAAAAACACTCCCTCTCTTAGACTCAGCTTTTCAAAAATTTAAGAGTGGTTTAAAGGCATGGTCAAAGTTCAAATGGGAAGAGAGCTCCTATTTATAGGCCCAAAGATGGACTGTTCAGCCCGTGACTCCCAAGCCACGTGGCAAACAATGGGAGGCCTTACCTAATGTCAGAAGCCTGCGTGAGGATGGGCAAATCGAGATCCTCCAAAAGGCAGAGCCAGTACAGCGTCAACGAGACCACACAGCTCTATTTGGATCTCGTACCCTCACACGCAGCGGCCTGATACATCAGAGTTTAGCAGGGCAGACATTCACCTCACCATCAAGGCAGCTTGATGGACGGGATGCAACACCCACCTACCGCATTGAACGTTTAACCGATAAGGGTCGGAGCTCCGAGCTCAGACCAGCCACGACCTCAGCCTTGCATATGACACTCTCAAGAATCAGCATCTCCACGATCATTCTAAGATAGCGAAGACACTCGGGGGCTACTGTCGAGATTAAGATACCCCGGGTATCTAAGGGCACCGATTAGTTAGCATCTCGAGCAGCCCAACTGGCTGAGGCCCAGCAGCCGCGGTTCACCTAAGCCACGAAGGCCCCGACCCAAATGCCAAGACATATGGTCCACCATGACCTCTCTCTTCTCCTTCCACTACACACAACCACCCTCGACCTCTTTCTCGTCTCGACCCCCGTGGAGGGACAGGGAGAGGACGAACGCGGTCAAGTACGCCTGCTCCGACAGAGACATACACCCCACTCACTCCATCGGGACTGAAAAGGACAACCATCTCGAGGGCAGACGCCATCCTTGCACGTCCCTGTGCGGACAAGACAACACCGTCAGATGGTGACGACCGGTACGGCACAACACCGTCCAAATCCAGCATGATAAAGACAAGCGCACGGCCCTACCCGATGCGGGATGGGACGCGCGACCCCGGCCTTGACTTTAAAGACCGGCCAAGCCACCAAAGACCTCGACCTCACAGTCTAGGGTTGAGGCCATCGACATCACGACCAGCAAAGGCGACCAACGCCCGGGGAGTGTCTACCTGCTCCCACACTGTCGCCATGACGCCACCAGGAGAACATGTGACGATGATGAAGGCCACGACAAGACCATGTCGCGCAGGACAGTTGGTGAACCACCACCGTGCCAATAGTGCCGTCATGGCCGGCACTGTAGCATCACGTCACGCCACGCCACGACGTGGGAGCAAGATCACGACGATGTCCATACCAGAACGTGCGGTGACGCTAGGACAAGACAAGCTTGTTTGCAGGCGAAGCTTACTCCATTCTCCCTCCCTCGGGCTCACGACACTCGGTCGGGAGAACCCTCTCTATGTGTAATCTGGCAGCCGAACTCTATATAAGGGCGGCCATGTCTCCCTACCAATGAGATGAACTCTCATTCGGATATTTGTTCACCTCACTCCTCCTACATCTTTCTCTTAGCTTACACAACCCATTGTAAGAATTCCAGAGCACTTAACTGAGGAACACGAACTCGAATCATTTCTAAGACTGGACATAGGGCTCCAACTTGAACCATTATAATTTCTCGTATCTTTGAAGGCTATCATCATCTTCCTAAAATAGCACGACACGTATATAAATAAATTCACTAATCGGTTGACAAAATACCGAAAAGAGAGAGATCTGGGCATCCGAACAAGAGCTGCATTCCTGGCCTGGGCAACAAACACACCCTTAGGACTTGTTTAGATTACAAATTTTTGTAATCTGGACACTGTAGCACGTTTTGTTTGTATTTGATAAACTTTGTCCGATCATATACTAACTAGGCTTAAAAGATCCATCTCGTGATTTACAACTAAACTATATAATTAGTTATTTTTTTACCTATATTTAATGCTCCATGCATATATCCAAATATTGATGTGACGAAGAAAGAATGAAAAAACTTGGAATTTGGAGGTGATGTAAATGAGACCTCAGTTTAGGTGCCGAAATCCAACGTAATCCCAATTCCAAATCCACCCACGGGCTCGCTCCCCGCCTAGTGTCGACCCCTCCGCCTCCCCCAGTATTAGTCGCCCCTCCCATTGCTCTCGTGCGCTCCACCCGCTTCCCCGCAAAACCCTAGCTCCGCGACATGAACCGTGGCGGCGATCGCTCGGGCGGCCCCTCCAGCGGCGGAGACCGCTCTGGAGCCCGGTTCCAGCGGGGTCCCTCCCGCTGGTCCGGCAGCGGCGGCGGCGGATTAGGGGGTAGCCCGCCCCATCGCTACTCCTCCCGCGGCGCGGCAGATGGCGGTGGTGGCGGGGGCGGTGGCGGTGGCGGGAGGTTCCACCCCTACCGTGGTTCTTCCGACTATTCTAGCGGCGGTGGAGGGTACAGAGGCGGAGGCCGCGGGGATTTCCAAGGTTCGTTCCAAAATTATATGGTTCTTTGTTATGCAATGCGATTATTAGGGTTGTGCCAACCCAAGATGGGGAACTTGAGCTTGGTTAAGCGTAGCTAGGGACCTCAAGCATAGCTAGGGTTTTGGTGCTGATAGAAAGGCGTGTTTGTGACCTCCGATTATTGATGCAAATTCAATCAACATCCTCGGAAGTTACTTGATAGAACTGACTAGTCAATTTGTGGACCTAACAAGTATGCTGAAGTTCAGAAAGCCAAGCAGGATTCAGATGCGTAATATGGTCATACCTGCATGTGCTGTAATGACAAAACCACCCAACCTTTTGAATAGACGAGCTCCTTAGTGTTTTTGGATGTAGACAGTGCACCTTGTCCAGGTTTTCTACATGTGAAGGGAGGGACATCCACAGTTCTCCGTTGATGCATGGTTAACTTTTGTAACACCATGTGTTCGGATTTTTTTCTTAGGTTTTTATTGATGTAATATGTTGTCAATTTGTAGAATTTGCAATTTATAGTTTGGGCAGATATGTTTATTCCAACATTTGATATTCAACTACTTAGAATGTTGAAGTGTCAATTATTGACTAGTTTTACCATGGTCCCCAAACATCTCAAAACTTCACTGTCAATTGTCAACATGTTTACCATTGATCCCCAAACATCCCCCAGACATCTCAAAAGTTTAAGTTAGAGTTAGATTACTTAACTTTTATTTTAGTTTTTCCTTTTAACTTTCAAGCTTCCTATCCAATCCAACATTGCAAACATCTCAAAACTTCACTTCAATTGTGAATAGGTTTACCTTTGGTCTCCAAACATCCGTCAGACATCTCAAAACTTTAATAGTTAGAGTCAGGTTACTTAGCTTTTATTTAGTTTTTCCTTTTTAACTTTCAAGCTTCCGTTTCAATCCAATGTTATACAGCAAATATATTGGTAAAAAATTTGTTGAATTTATCATTCCATGGTAGGAATACCATATGGAAAAGTGCTGTATGTGATTGAGCTTAAGTGGAAATAAATCTTAATCCTAATCTCTTACCCTGTCTTTGTCAAATATTGATATTGCTCTTGAAAGTTCCTGCAGATCATGATAGTAGAAGTAACTATGTCAAACTTTTTGTCGGATCTGTTCCAAGGACAGCAACTGAAGAAGACGTGAGCATTACTTCCATGCTACTATCTTCTCTTCTTGCATAGTATTTTTTTTATATTTTGCTAGCATCTTTATTTTTTAAACATTATTTCTCCTTACCTGATATCATTTTATTTGTACTTATGTATGATGTTGTGTTACCATTGTGTATCACTGTGCACAAAACAAACTAGAAGCTTTCTAACTAAGGCCCTGTTTAGATCCTATGGTCTAAAGTTGGCTAAAGTTAAGGACTAAAACTTTAGACCATTTTAGCTCACTTGTGTGGTCTAAAGTTTTTGTGAGGTTGGCTATACTTGGATAACACTTTAGACCTCCTGTTTGGAGCCTCAGGAGCCTTTAGACCATGGGATCCAAACAGGGCCTAAGTTCTCTAAGGTATCTTATACAAGATAAAAGATGCAAAAGCTCTTTTTGTCATATATATCAGCTCATAGATATACAAATTTAGTGTGAATTCTTGGATTTTTAGGATCCAGTCAAAGCTGCATCAAGACAATCATTTCTTACACCTTTTCTTGTCAGCTCCAGCCTCCATGATGATCATTGTGTTAGTTATTTTCTTGTTTGGCTAACAAGTTGAATCTTGAATAAAACTATCAAATATGCATTTTTTCTGTGCTTGTGATGCCTTATTTTTCTGTTATTTAGATTTTTATTGTATTGTTCAGTTTGTGACAGATTCTTGTGTCTTCAGGTTCGGCCTTTATTTGAGGAACATGGAGATGTTCTTGAAGTTGCTTTAATTAAGGATAGGAAGACCGGTGAACAACAAGGTGTGCTAAGGCTTTGTTTTTCTTGTATTATCACAATCGAGTATCTCTTTTGTTTTCAGGTTTCTGAGAGGTTATAGGAGCAACAAGGTTGCATCTTCTCTCAGTTAGATTGGCGGTTGTTGATTTTCATTTCCTGTGCTTCCATTCTGTTCGTCTCCTGTGGATTCAGTAGAAGACTAGAATGGAAGCGACTAACTGTCCGCTGATTACTGCAACCTAACTAGCCACAACTCTACTGCTACACAAGGCAGCAAATTTGGTACCAAAAGCTGTGTTTAGATGATATTGATCTTCTGGATGCTCTGTAGTTCTAGTAGCAATGAGGTTGTAGTTTCACCTTTGCATCTGTGCCTTGATTTTGTTGCAAGAACTTATATAACCTTATAATGAATCAATACAAAACTTCCCATCCTTGCCTCTCATGGTTTAAGATTTATTATCCATGTAATCATGAATTGCATATGATGTGGAATTCCTTAATGTGAGCGACTGAATCCCTCGATACACGAGTTATTGGATGATGCAGTATAGCTGCATATTGCTGTCACAATTGATGGTGGCTGGTGTGTGTTGTGTTGATGACCTTGTACTGTTTGGAAATCGTGTGTTGTGCACCTTCATTCTAGATTCATCTGATTCGATGGGTACCAATATTGTCATGGGTGGTCTGGAAACATGTTCCTTGAATATTATAAATCTTGTGAGTTGTGGCTTTGACTGTGATATGTTCTTGCTATATGCAATCTGTGGATATTTGAGTGTAAATTTTGGATGAGCTTAGTTTTTCCCTGACTGGATGATGTTGCTTCACACGACAACGGTTATGGTGATATTTACTGTTCGTGTGAAATATCTACACAAATGCAGTCTTTGTAATAATTCTTCCAGCTAGTTCCCAATGGTGCTTAAAGTTCTGTAACTTGGAGCTGAATGTTGATGACACATGATGATGTACCAGTGCTGTGCGTCTTGCATCTAATGTAAGCATGGTCACTTAGCTAATGACGCTTCATCTGCTCTGTGTGATGATTGTCACTCAAAGTGCTTGGCTTGCAGAATATTATCCGTGTAACCTCTCTGTGAAGGGTCAGTGTTAAGCCTATTCCGGATTGGATCATTTGACATTGCAGCTGATGAGAATGCACCAGACTCTTCTATTGGTCTTTGTTGCTGCTGCTTATGTTATCTTAGGGAAAATTGAAGCTGAATACTGATTCTGGCTGCATTACTGTGATACAAGTGCACATCTGGATTTCAAAGCCTTCATCACACATGATTTGATTGCCTTAATGTGAATCAATCTGCTGTTTGAAATCATATGGTTGATGCGATAGATGGATGGAAACTGTTGCTCATTATTGTTGGTGTACTTTCGTGCTAAGCAACTAGTAGTGGATCCTGTCTTCTGACAGATTATACTCTCATTTACTGGACTAACTTTATACTTCTACCTAAAGGGTTACTCATGGATGCTATCAGATGCTGGTTGAATTGGCATCGCAGTTGATTTGATCGTTTTTTTCATGTGTACTTATATTAATTAATGCGCATTGGCTGCATTATATAACCTTTTTTCCCAAAACCTTTTGGGTCATTGGCGCAGCCTCTTATTATATCATTCTTTTGCATGAGTAATTTTCCTTGTTTTATCTAGACTATTTGAGCATTATTTACCATGCACTTCACAGTTTTTTCATCTTCTATTGAATGCATCATCAGATGCAGCTATAAAAGCGTCACCATGGAACACCATATATAATTTAGTGATTTTGCTTGTTCAAAAGTCATGCCATTTTGATGGCTTGTTATATTTATATATATATATTTAATTCAATATATACACCAGATATGAGCTTGGTGTGGTGCCTAGTTTAATTGCCAGTGCTGCTGTGTTTCACTTTTACCAGCTTATTGAAGCTTGCCTTTTGGCAATTGCTATGCTAGATTATTACTTACTGCTATCAAAATATGCTGTATGAGGATGATGATGATGTATCTTTGTTAATGCTTTTTACTGTATTGCATATACTGGGAGCATGAACCCCCTCTAAACCTTCTGCGGTTCAACCCAAGCAACTTTCTTGGACATGTTGATGGCCAGTTTCTTATAACTTCCACACCTGATATTTGTTGCTCATTCTGTGACATTTATTTATGAGTATGACTACTTATAGTATTTGCAATTTTGGTGCATCAGTGCTATGTTAAGGCCCTGTCACCATTTGCATTTTCTGCACAAAATGTCATCCCAAGCGCAAACACAATTCTAACTATACCACAGCTGGGTTCAGATATCCTCGAGCTTTTTGATGTGTGAAGAGTGCACTTATTTTCTTCATTCCATGTAATATTTGGGTGTCACTAAAATTTAGTGCAACCAGCTGTAGTGTGTAAAATTGATGTACCTGATGTTCTATGTTTTAGGTGTAACTTCTAAATTGAGGAGACTGTCGGTGTTGCAAATACAGAGCATAGCTTAAATTGAAATTGTGACATGTTCTGCAAAGTCTTTATATTTTTGTACTCTTTTCATGCTTTAACACTCCTGAATGGGGCTTGCTCTTGAACTGTGAAATGGTCTTGGTTGTTTTTCTTGATTGTTATCTGAGTCGACGGGTGCGAAGGGTAAGGAAGCTAGTCGAACCAACTAGGATCCGTTTAGGTAGTTGGAATGTAGGGTCACTTACAGGTAAGTTAAGAGAATTAGTTGATACCGCGACTAGGAGGCGTGTAAATATATTATACGTTCAAGAGACTAAATGGAAGGGTTAGAAGGCGAAGGAGGTGGACAATACAGGTTTCAAGCTTTGGTACACAGGGACAGTCGCGAATAGAAATGGAGTAGGAGTTTTGATTGATAAGAGTCTCAAGAATGGTGTGGTGGGAGTGAGAAGGCAAGGAGATAGGATTATCTTAGTCAAGCTTGTCGTTGGTGATATGGTCTTGAACGTAATTAGTGCGTATGCCCCCCAAGTAGGCCTCGACGAGAGTGCTAAGAGACAGTTCTGGGAAGACTTAGATGGCCTAGTTAGAGCTATACCTAGTAGTGAGAAGCTTTTTATAGGAGGAAATCTTAATGGGCATGTAGGTACTACAAGCGCAGGTTTTGAGGCAGTTTATGGAGGTTTTGGGTATGGTAGTAGGAATCAGGAGGGGGAGGAAGTTCTGGACTTCGCGGTAGCTTTTGACCTGATGATAGCCAACACTTTCTTTAGAAAGAGAGAATCTCATCTAGTGATCTTAAGTAGCGGACAACACTGTAGCCAGATTGACTTTGTCCTCGCAAGAAGAAAGGGCAAACGAGCATGCTTGGATTGCAAGGTGATATCAGGGGAGTGTGTTGTTTCTCAACATAAGCTTTTGGTGGCAGATTTTCGTTTTCAGGTGCGTGCCCGTAGGGATAAACAAGCTAAGATTGAAAGAACAAAGTGGTGGAAACTGAAAGGGGAGACGTTAGAGGTATTCAGTGAAAGGGTTATCAAAGAGGGCTCTTGGAAGGAAGAAGACGACATAAACAACATGTGGGAGAAGATGGCAACCAACATTCGGAAGGTGGCCTCAGAGGTGTGTGGAGTAACCAAAGGAAGTGGAGGCGAGGCTAAAGATACTTGGTGGTGGAACGAGGAAGTCCAAAGGGCTATTAAGGAGAAGAAAGAATGCTATAGACGCTTGTACTATGACAAGAGTGTGGACAACATAGAGAAGTACAAGGTGGCAAAGAAGATTGCAAAGCGAGCTGTAAGTGTGGCAAATGGTAGAGCGTACGAGGATCTTTACCAACATTTGAGTACGAAGGAAGGAGAGAAGGACATTTATAGGATGGCTAGGGTTCGTGAAAGAAAGATACGGGACTTCAACCAAGTTAAGTGCATTAAGGATGAAAGGGAGCATCTCTTGGTGAAGGACGATGAGATTCGACATCGATGGCAAGAGTATTTTGACAAATTGTTCAATGGTGAGAATATGGACACAACATTTCAGTTGGATGACTCTTTTGATGACACCAATATGCGCTTTGTGCGGAGAATCCAAGAATCTGAGGTCATAGAGGCGTTGAAAAGGATGAAAGGAGGTAAGGCGATGGGACCGGATGGTATCCCAATCGAGGTGTGGAAATGCCTCGGGGACATAGCTATAGTATGGCTAACCAAGCTGTTCAACCATATTTTTCAATCGAACAAGATTCCTGATGAGTGGAGGAGAAGGATATTGGTACCGATCTACAAGAATAAAGGGATATTCAAAGTTGAACTAATTACCGGAGAATTAAGTTGATGAGCCACACTATGAAGCTATGGGAGAGAGTTATTGAGCATCGCTTGAGAGCAATAACGCGGGTCTCTATGAACCAATTTGGTTTCATGCCCGGAAGGTCAACCATGGAAGCTATTTTCTTAATAAGACAAGTTATGGAGCGGTATAGGGAGAAGAAGAAGGACCTACACATGGTTTTTATTGGCTTGGAGAAGGCTTATGATAAAATACCAAGGAATGTTATGTGGTGGGCTTTGGACAAACATAAAGTCCCAACGAAGTACGTCGGGCTCATTAAGGACATGTACAATAATGTTGTGACTAGAGTTCGAACAAGTGATGGAGACACGGATGACTTCCCGATTAGCATAGGACTATATTAAGGGTCAGCTTTGAGCCCTTATTTGTTTGCTTTAGTGATGGATGAGGTCACAAGGGACATACAAGGGGACATCCCTTGGTGTATGCTTTTCGCGGACGATGTAGTGCTAGTTGATGAAAGACGGACAGGAGTGAATCAGAAACTGGAGTTATGGCGGGAGACTTTGGAGTCCAAAGGTTTTAGACTCAGTAGAACTAAAACTGAGTATATGAGATGTGACTTCGGCACTACTACTCGGAAGGAGGAAGATGTTAGTTTGGAAGGTCAAGTAGTGCCTAGGAAGGATACCTTTCGATATTTAGGATCAATGCTACAGAGGGACGGGGATATTGATGAAGATGTTAACGATAGAATCAAAGCAGGGTGGATGAAGTGGCGGCAAGCGTCTGGTGTCCTATGTGACAAAAGGGTACCACAGAAGCTAAAAGGCAAGTTTTATAGGATGACGATTAGACCTGCTATGTTGTATGGTGCAGAATGTTGGCCTACGAAAAGACGACATGTTCAACAGCTAAGTGTCGTGGAAATGCGTATGTTGCGTTGGATTTGCGGTCATACAAGAATGGATCGAGTTCGGAACGATGATATACGTGATAGATCAGGGGTAGCGCCAATTGAAGAAAAGCTTGTCCAACACCGGTTGAGATGGTTTGGACATGTGCAACGGAGACCTCCAGAGGCACCGGTGCGTAGTGGAATCCTAAGCCAAGATAGTAACGTGAAGAGAGACAGAGGAAGACCGAAGTTGACTTGGGTAGAGGCAATAAAAGGAGACTTGAAAGGATTGAATATACCCAAAGACTTAGCCTTAGATAGGAGTGCTTGGAATGCCTGAACCTTAATTGCTTCTGATGGGTTTCAACTCTAGCCTACCCCAACTTGCTTGGGACTTAAAGGCTTTGTTATTGTATATATATATTACTATATATCAGATCACAATGAGATATACAGAAAATAGTATCTGACTGAGTAATTTACATTTTGTGCATTCCTAGGTTGTTGTTTTGTTAAATATGCTACTTCTGAAGAGGCAGAGAGGGCCATCAGGGGTCTGCACAATCAGTACACTTTACCTGGAGTATGTATCTTGTAAGCTATTTGTTAAGCTCTGTTCTTTGTTTGCAGATTATTGAATGTAAATCTGTTTATCTTCAGGCGATGGGCCCTATTCAAGTTAGATATGCTGATGGTGAAAGGGAACGGCATGGTAATGCTGTGATCTTCAGTAGTTTACCTATTAATGACCTGTGTGCGTTGCATGTTATACTGGTTTTGAGGCAACCTTAACAGTCCTACCTGCTCTATATGCTCAAAAAGTGCATATTCAACACTAGTTTTTCCCCCTTGAATATGCAGGAGAGATGCATACCCTTGCATTAATAATAAGAAGAAAGGAGAGTACCACACACACACCACACCCGTAGTCCCACACACAAATACATCTACATAGTGCCAGCTTCTCTAAAATTGAGCACCATACCTTTACATGTCACTTATCACAGAACATTTTGTTTGTTGTAGCATACTAGCATGTAGAGACGAATTTATTGTGCTTTCCCAATCTTGTTTTTACGTTTTATAGTTACACGTACATGTTTCTTGATCAATTTACAAGTGACTTCTATTCTGATTCTGCATTTTTTTCTCTATCTGAAAATACTATTCATTTAAGGATTCTTTACTGTTTTGTTCTTGTAATCTTAGTTATATAATCATATTCAGAAAGCAAACTGTGCTTGGTTCGTTAAATGATAGTTGTTTTTCTTCAGATCTTTTATTTGTTGTGCTTTTTGGGCAATTTCATCAGTTTTTGTGACAAATTTGCTAGGGGCCATCGAGCACAAATTATTTGTTGCGTCCCTCAATAAGCAAGCAACTCCAAAGGAGATTGAAGAGGTAAATGGGTTGAACTTCTTATTTTCCTTTTTGTTCCTTGACGATTTAATGATTTGCTCATCTGAGAGAGTATATGATTTAAAAACTACTGCTCGATGTTCATAATCAACCTGTGATACTGTATTCTTATCTGCATTTGAGGACATGATTAAGACAAATTTAGTAGCTCGCTTTTCCAAGGATTGATGATAAAAGCATACATTTTTCAGATATTTGCCCCATATGGTCATGTGGAAGATGTTTACATTATGAGAGATGGCATGAGGCAGAGCCGAGGTTTATGAATGCCTGTTTGCTTTAGTTATACTCTTCCATTCCAACCTTTTTGTTTTAACTTGTAATATATGTAATATAAAGGCTGTGGCTTTGTCAAATTCTCGTCAAAAGAGCCAGCAGTGGAAGCTATGAATGCCCTTAATGGGACTTACATAATGAGGGTAAATTTCTCTGCCAACTGACATATTGTGTGTATAGCTTTCTGGATATTTATGATGTATTTATTTCTGTATTAGGGGTGCGAGCAACCATTAGTCATTAGATTTGCTGATCCTAAGAGGCCTAGACCTGCAGAATCGAGGTGATTAACAACTGTGACTATGTTTCTTTGTTACATAGCATATGCTATTTTATTTACTTAAGATGAGTATAATCATTACCATTTCTGCTTTCTGATTTACCTTACTGGTTAGGGGTGGCCCTGCATTTGGAGGTCCTGGTTTCAGTCCTCGATCGGATGCAGCACTTGTTATCAGGTTTGAGTTCATTACTTATTCAGTAATTTTTTCTCAAGAACAATTAAATTAAGTAGGTAATGAGATGAAACAGGCATGGTCTCTCTTCTCACATGAGTTGTTGATGCTAAGGGCATCTACTGAATGGTAGAACCAAAACACAGGTTTGGGGCTGAATTTCAGATTTCACTAGCCATGCCACAACTATGCAGGTTGGGGATACATATAGGATAGCTTGCTTGAGCCTTAAGAAAGCTACAACATATTCTAGAGATGCTAAAGTAGATGTTAGGGATAAAGATAAGAGCTGACACAGCCACCAACTATTCTAGATAAGTATCCTAAGTAGATAAGAACAAGACTTATAGCTGTCATTCTCCCCCTAAGTCTTGTGTGGCGTCTTCTGGGGAATTTGAACCATCCCAATCTTGGCGCGGAACTTGACCCGCCCAAGGGACTTGGTGAGAAGGTCGGCGAGCTGATCCTGGGTGTTGATGTAGCCGGCCTTGATGCTCCCCTCATCCAAGCAGCTCCTAATGAAGTGGTATTTGATTCGGATATGCTTGCTGCGCTCATGGAAGACTGGGTTCTTTGCCAAGGCCAAGGTGGACTTGCTGTCCACCCTGAGTTCCACTGCTTCTGCGTCTCTACCCAGGAGATCACCTGGCAGCCGAGCCAACCAGAGAGCTTGAGTCGAAGCGGTTGTGGCAGCGATGTACTCCGCCTCGCAAATGGAAAGAGCCACCACTTGCTGCTTGACCGATTGCCAGCTGATTAGACACTTGCCGAGGAAGAATAGCGTCCCGCTGGTGCTCTTGCTTGTGTCGATGTCGCCGGCGAGGTCGTTGTCGCTGTACCCGATGAAGTGCTCTGCACCGGAACACCTCGGGTAGTGCAAGCTGTAGTCGGAAGTGCCTGCGACGTAGCGGAGGATCCTCTTGACGGACTGCTCGTGTTCCGTCGTCGGTCGCTGCATGAACCGACTGACATAGCCAACAGCGAACGTCAGGTCCGGCCGTGTGTGGACGAGGTAGCGAAGGCTGCCCACAATGCGCCGGTACCGTGTGGCGTCGACCTCCTTCGCCGTGCTGTCGCGGCTCAGCTTCAGCCTCTCCTCCATCCATGGGAGTGTGTGCTGGGTTGCAGCTGGTGAGCCTGCCCAACTCGATGATGCGCTTGGCGTAGACGGTATGGCGAAGGGAGATGCTGGAGCTGTCTTGGTGGACCTCGATCCCCAGGTAGGAGAGAAGGCCCAAGTCGCTCATTTGGAAGGTCGCCTTCATCTCCTCCTTGAATGACTCCACCTCGGCCTCCTTGGTGCCGGTGATCACCAAGTCGTCGACGTAGATGCCTACCAACAGGGCATTGCCTCCCTTGCCCCGCCGATAGACTGCAGCCTCGTGAGGACTTTGCTGGAACCCCATTTGCTTGAGAGTGGAGTCCAGCTTGGCGTTCCAAGCTCGGGGTGCCAACCGCAAGCCGTAGAGGTCCTTGCGTAGGCGAAGAACCTTGTTCTCCTTGCCGGGGATGACGAATCCCGGCAGATGGTGGACGTAGACTCCTCCTTCAGGTTACCGTTGAGGAAGGCGGACTTGACGTCCATGTGGTGCACACGCCAACCCTCCTGGGCCGCCAGTGCGAGGAGGAGACGGATGGACTCCATCCACGCAACGGGCGCGAAGGCGTCGTCGAAGTCGACTCCCTCCTGCTGGACGAACCCGTGCGCCACCAGACGCGCCTTGTGCTTGATCACCGCCCCGGCCTCATCCTTCTTGAGCTTGTAGACCCACTTAAGGGTGATGGCGTGGTGGCCGGCAGGACGATCCGCCAGCTCCCACGTCCGGTTCCGCTCGATCGCATCCATCTCCTGCTGCATCGCGGCATGCCATGCCGCGTCTCCCTCCGCCTCAGTGAAGGAGCGGGGCTCGCCGTCCTTGTGCGCCAAGTGCAGCTCCGCCTCGAAGTCGTGCACCGCTAGTCCAGGAACGGGCTGATCACCGAAGATGTTGTCCAAGGTGCGGTAGCGCAGAGGCTCGTCGTCGTGGTAGGCATCGACGCAATCCTCGTCGTCGGACAGCGGAGTGGCGAACTCCACCGTGCGCTGCTCTTCACGAACCAAGGCTGTTGGTGCCGATCTCGGAGGTGTGGGCGCCGATGTAGGAGATTGGGGAGCGGTAGTAGAGAAGGCGCGTGGCCGGTGGTACTGTGGTGGAGGACTTCTTTGGTGGTGTAGGCGGTGGAGTACTCGCCGGAGCCGATGGCGCAGCCGGGTCTTTGAGGTAGACGAGTTTTCGGTGAAGATGAGTCGCTAGCTCCCCGGTTCCCTCGGTGGACGTAGTCGACGACGAAGTCTCTCGAGAGTCGAAGTCGAGCCGCCGTCCACCGCTTTGTCCGGCCAGACCTCGCCGCTTTTCGTCGAACACGACGCCCCGTGAGATGCGACGCTACTGTGTTGCGGTGGTCGAGGATGCGGTAGGCCTTGACGCCTCCGCGTAGCCGATGAAGACCCTGGCGTGTTCGGTCGCCGAGCTTGATGACGTGGTTGAGCTCCTTGGCGAAGGGCGAGATACCAAGACGCGAGGTGGTTTCACCACCGCTTACGCCTCGCGTACCAGCCTCGTGACGGCGTTTTTGCCGTCAAGGGCCTTGGTGGGCGAGCGGTTGAGGAGATGGACGACAGTCATCACCGCCTCCCCGTAGAGATTGTTGGCATCCCTCTCTCGCTGAGGAGGCGGGGCGGTGGCCACCACCACCGTCAAGTGGCGGCGCTCAACGCCAACGCGCTGCCTGCTGCGGTGTACGGCGCGGAGAAATGGCGCTGGATCCCCTCGTCGGTGCAGTACGCCGTGAACTCGCCGCCGTTGTCGGTGTGTAGCACCCGAAGCTTGCGGCCGCACTCCTTCTCCGCAGCAGCTTGATGGCATCCGCAGCCGCCGCCTTGGTGTCGAGCAGGACCGCCCATATGTAGCGGGACGTCGTCGACGAGGAGCAGGAAGAAGCGCCGGCCTCCAGGTGTGCCCGGTGTCACGGGGCCGCAAAGGTCACCGTGCACGAGCTCCAGCTTCTCCTTGGCGCGGAAGCTCGCCTGGCGGGGAAAGTGGAGCCACACGCTGCTTGGTGAGGACGCAGGTGTCGTAGAACTGCTCCACGTGCTCGACTCGCGGCATGCCCTGCACCATCTCCTTGTTGCCGAGCTGCTTCAGGGCCTCGAAGTTGAGGTGCCCAAAGCGCTCGTGCCACCGCCAGGAGTCGTCGTCGCGGCGGGCTGCAAGACACACGGGCTGCGCCACCTGCACGTGGAGGACGTAAAGGCGGTTGGGGCCTCTGTTCACCTTGACGAGAAGGCGACGATGGCGATCCTAGATACGCAAGACCCCGTGCTCGATCTCCACGCGCGAGCCGTTCTCATCCAGTTGTCCCAGGCTGATGATGGAGTTCCTCGGTGCGGGGATGTAGTAGACACCGGTGAGCAGTCGGTGCTCGCCGGTCCTGGCGGTGAAGACGACGGAGCCGACACCCTTGATCTCCACGGCGGAGGCGTCCCCGAACTTGACGGGGCCTTGAACGCCGGAGTCGAGCTCGGAGAAGAACTCCCGCCGCCCGGTCATGTGGTGGGTGACGCCGGTGTCGAGGTACCACCCGTCGATCTTGTCGCCGCCGGACCCGTTGCCGAGGAAGACGTGAGCCCGCGACTCGTCGAGGTGGAGGAGCACGGCGGCGGTCGGCGCGGGAGAGGAGTGTGGCTCAATGCTCCCGTGTACGAAGAACAGAGCCGGCTCGTCACCCTCCTGTGCTTGCGCGACGTGTGCCTGACCGCCGCGCTTCGCCTGCCGGCAGTCCTTAGCCCAGTGGCCGGACCTCCCGCAGTTGTTGTAGGTGTCGTCACAGATAGCCTTGCGCTCACCGTCGGCGCCGCCAGGAGCGCCACCACGCGCCCTGTCCCGCTTGCGCGACCGACGCTTGCGGCTGCTCGACGAACCCGAAGCTGATGAACCCGAGGCCTCCCCCTTCTTCTGCTCCCGCTCGGTGAAGAGAAGCTTGCCACCGATGGTGACCGGCTCTGAGGGAGGTAGCTGCTTGCGGTTGTCGACGGCCTTGAGGCGACCCGTCACCTCCTGGATCGACAACTCGGAGAAGTCCAACAACATCTCGATTGCGATGGCGACCTGCGAATACTTCTTGGGGACGACGTGGCGGAATTTCTCGACAGCTCTCTCCTCGTCGATGTCGTTGTCACCGTACCGCGCCAACTGCTGCATCAGGGTGTTGAGGCGGAGAGCAAAGTCGTCGACGTCCTCACCCGGCTTGAAAGCCAGGTTCTCCCACTCCTGACGCAGCTTCTGAAGCGTGGACCTGCAGGCGCGGTCGCTGTCAATGCGTGCCGCGGCGATGGCATCCCAGGCGTCCTTGGCGGTCCGCTTGTTCGCGATGGAGGAGTGCATCTCCGTCGGAACAGCAGCAAGAAGCGCCTCCAGTGCCCGCCGATCCTCATCGAAGTCGGCGTCGCCGTACCGTACCGCATCCCACATGCGCCGCGCCTGCATCTTCACCTTCATCACCATGGACCACTCGGCGTAGTTGGTCTTGGTGAGCATCGGCCATCCGCCGCCAGCGTCCTTGACGACGGTCTGCACGACGGGAGGGGAGCTGGGCTGGCCACGGCGACCACGGCGCTGGTCCGGGGAAGGGGAGGCGTGCTGCCTGTGAGGGCTCCGCGTGCCAGCGTCTCGTCCGGCCAGGTCCCGCACCTCGCGCCGCTCCTCCCGCTCCAGCCAGGCGTCGGCATCGCGTGCCGCCCGCTCGTCCTGGTCGAAGTCGCGGCGTTGTCCGTCGAAGCGGCCCGCGTCGGTTGTCGGAGCCGTCGCGGTCGCCAGCCTCACGTCCACCGCGTCCGCCCAGGCTGCCCGCGTCGGGCCAGGCCCACTCGGCGTCCACTCCGCGGCGCAGAGCCGCAGCCGCCGCCGCTCCTGCATCCGACGCGCCCTCCCGGGCACCGTAGTCCTCCTGCTCGCCCGCGTCCGCCTCCGCACGGAGCGCAGCCGCTGCTGTTGCAGCCTCCCGCGCCTCCGCTTCTGCCTGGTGGGCGGCTTCAGCCGCACGCGCCGCAGCAAGCTCTGCCTGGGCGATGCGAGCCGCCCGCTCCGCTGCTGCTGCACGCTCGGCCGCCGCCTCCTCGCGCCTGGCTGCTGCAGCCGCTGCAGCACGTATGCTGGAGGTGGTGGAACGGTTGGAGGAAGAGGATGAGGAGTGGAGAGACATGGCGACGGATTGGGATGGGGTAAGGGTAGAACCCAGATGAACTTAGGCTCTAGATACCATTTGTTAGAACCAAAACACAGGTTTGGGGCTGAATTTCAGATTTCATTAGCCATGCCACAACTATGGCAGGTTGGGGATACATATAGGATAGCTTGCTTGAGCCTTAAGAAAGCTACAACATATTCTAGAGATGCTAAAGTAGATGCTAGGGATAAAGATAAGGGCTGACACAGCCACCAACTACTTTAGATAAGTATCCTAAGTAGATAAGGACAAGGCTTATAGTTGTCACTGAAGTGCATTTGTGAAAACCAAATATTAACTCTAGAATAACACAAGAATAACACAGTAGCTCTAGAATAATCTGCAAAAGATGTTTAAAGTAGGATAGATAAGGTATTATGATATATATAGACAACAATGAAATGTCTGAAAGTGAAACAAGTGCTAGCTTCTGTGTATTTTCTGCCTTACAGAACCTGTCTAATAATCAATTGAACTAATTTCTTAATCATAGCTTCTGCTCCTTTTTTTATATATGACATTTAAGACAAGCTAGTAGTTTATTCTCGAACTAATTAGCTTGTCCAAAAGGCCTAAATGACTAAATGTTTTATATTTAAAAATGGACGGAGTACATGGAGAAGTTTAGCAGTTCATCGGAGGTTTCTTATTGCTATTCATTATTTATAATTCAGGCCAACAGCCAATCTTGATGAATCAAGGGGTCGGCATATGCCTCCTGAATCTTGGCGTCCATCAAGTCCAAGGTCAATGGCACTCAACCAATATAATAATTTTGGATCTGACAATCCATTGGCACTAAGTGGTGGCACTGTAACATCAGCAGATAATGTATGTTTCAAGTCGATCCTTCATTATGGTTTTACTTTTGTTTAGTCTATTTCCCAACCTTTGGTTCCAAAACATGATAGGCTGCTTTTCGACCTCCGATGTTCCCTGGAAATGGTTCCTTGTCAAATCAGACAGCTGTCCCAACTTCGTCACACATGGTATAATTTGGAATATTATTACTTCCTTTTATCTCATGATTTTCCTTTAATGGAAATTGTTATGCCATAGTGATGGGGACTCTGCTTTTTAGGGCATGAACACTCCCATGGTACAAGGGCACCATCTAGGAGGCCAACAGATCCCACCCTTGCAAAAGCCAGCTGGTCCACCACAGAATTTCCCTGTACAACTGCAGAATGCTCAGCCAGGACAGCCTCTGCAGGGGCCTATTCCGCAGATTGGGCAACTTCAGGTCCCACAATCCACGGGACCTGTTTCATTTGGCCAGAATATTTCATCTATGCAATTACCTGGCCAACCTCCTGCATCACAGCCGTTGATGCAACAGAATGCTTCTCTAGGTGCTTTACAGGCCCCTCCATCTGTACAGTCCAATTCAATGCAAGCTGTTCCTGGCCAGCAGCAACTTCCCACCAGTGTTGCTCCCCAAATGCTCCAGCAGTCGATGCAGCAGATGCCTTCACAAGCACCACAGTTGCTGCTTCAACAGCAGGCAGCTTTGCAGTCTAGTTATCAATCTTCACAGCAGGCGATTTATCAGCTTCAGCAACAGCTACAACTAATGCAGCAGCAGTCTAACCTAAATCAGCAACCCTCTGCACAGGTTCCTAAACAGCAGGTAATTTCCTCATAGCTACAACATTAGACAGCAACTTATGATACAAGACCACTCTGCATTTATGCTTCCCTTGTTGCTACCTTCCATTGTCATCATTTATATGTTTCTGTTCTTTGTTGGATCTGTTACATATTCAGTTAAAATGCATTCAAAGTTTCTATGTAATTCTTCATTTTCAGTCTGGGCAGCCAGTGCAATCCAGTAACCCTGGTGCTCCGGGTGCCATTGTTCCGATAAACATTAATGCAACTCCGCAGCAGGTTGGTTCACCTGCAGTTTCTTTAACCTGTAACTGGACAGAGCATACCTCCCCTGAAGGTTTTAAGTACTACTACAATAGCATTACTCGAGAGAGTAAGGTGAGGAATCATGCTCATCATGTAATTTTAGCCAATTTTGTGGTTTATTCCTACGAGCTACTGTGTCCCTGCAGTGGGAGAAGCCTGAAGAGTATGTGCTGTATGAGCAGCAGCAGAAACTGCTTTTGCTTCAACAGCACCAACAAAAGATTGCTGTACAGCAACTGCAGTCACCGCCACAGGGTCAATCACTTACATCCATGCAACCGATTCAACAGCTTCCCCAGGCACAAGGACAAACACAAATGCATATGAAACAGCAGGTGCACATTCTGTTCCGTCATAGTTTTGGTTTATGGGATATTATTTTTGTTCCAGATTGCAATCTATAGTTTTATGTTGGTATTTTGCTTGTGTCCAGATATGCTTAAAAGAGATCTCTTGGATGAACTGAAGTTATTCAAATGCATTCTCCTTTTTAGCATTTTTCTCACTATAGCTCACATCCTATATATTCAAATTGGTTGCTTTTGAATTTCATGTAAAATTTTATTTTACTATCTTCTTTTTCAGTGCTCATAGTACAAAAGAGGATAAGGATATTATCATTTATATGTATTGAGCCGTCAGCTCTTATTTTACTATCTTTTAGTTGTCAGTTCTTGAAGGGCGGGCCTGGTGCAAGCGGTAGAGTCTTACCGCCTGTGACCGGAATGTTCCGGGTTCGAGTCGCGGTCTCCTCGCATTACACAGGCGAGGGTAAGGCTTGCTACTGACACCCTTCCCCAGACCCCGCACAGAGCGGGAGCTCTCTGCACTGGGTACGCCCTTTTTAGTTGTCAGTTCTGGAAACTTTGACCTTGGCCTTTGTTTTTCTTTCTTATGGTGTTATGTGTTATTATATAATAAAATTTGTGATATTCTAAATTTATGGATCTCAAACTTTTATGCTGGAATTAAATTATTCCCAATTTCAGGCAGCTGGTTCCATTGATCCCAACAGGATTCAACATGTACTCTAGTTTATTCCGTTATCTAAATGTCTTAGTGCTGTGACTACTTTATTCATATTCCCAGTCATGCCGCTTATTCTGGTGACATAATGTAGGGCATTCAAGCTGGGCAAGAACGTGCTTGGAAAAGTTAAAGCTGCAGGTAATCAGAATCATTGTTCTTCCTTCAGACATCTGGGGATGTTCCCTTGATCTGAAACATGATTTTGCCATACCCAAAGTTCTCATTATCTGTTATTTGAAACTTTGTTTTGCTTAACCAATTGGTGCAACAGCCACAAACAATGATGTACTTTAGATCATAAAATGTTACTAAAAAAAGAAAGAAAAAGAAAATATTCCTAATGTTTTCCTTTTCTGATCTTGATAGGATGCTGATCAATGAATGCGTTGTGTTTTCGGCTCATACTTTGCTCGGACTTTTCCCACCATTTTCCAGGTCGCAATAATAAAGCACTAGTCAAGACTCAGGAAGTGAACAAAGCCCTTGTGCTGTCCAATTGTAGGAGCAGCTTTTGTCTAGTGCCTCCACAGCCTGTCGCCCATGCCGATCAGTGTAACTCCGGATTTAGATTAGACTGATACGAAGCGTGTTGCCGATTCACCATGCTGGTGTCCGTACGCAGGAGTTGCTAGATGTCATCACTTGTGTTTTCCTTTGATTGTGGCATGATTTGTGATGTTCGGCGCGATGTGTGGGCATTACATTTGACGCCCTGGTTGTTTTGCCTCGCTCTGTGTGCTGCTGATACAAGTTACGAGGAACCATGCTATTGACTTGCTGTCCATTTCTGGTAGCACGCGGTAACCCATAGGGTTGTCCATTTCTGGGGTATCTCTACTATACGAATCCTGCACCAGAAAACGGGCCAGTGGATTGTGCCATCATCTGTTAACCTATTAACTGTAGTATCAAGCAATCGCACTGCGTGGACCGTTTGATCCCGAGCATTGCGGGTCTACTACCCATTAAGCTAAGCTGCATACATGGGTCCCTCTTCTGGTCTTCCTAGGGGACGCTTAAGGTCCGATCTTGTGGCACCTTGTACCACGCGGACCACCAAGTTTTCTCCTGCACATGGGCAGGCAATCTGCCCCTGTTCCACTCGTGCATGTGCCGAGCTTGCGCGCACTCGTGATTCGTTTAGAACTCTCCGACTTCCGTGAAACAAATGCTCATGCGCGAGAGTGGAACGCGGTACACGCAGCACACACACTCGTGTTTCATTTTTCATTTTCCCTTCTATATATTCGCACACTCACTCGTGTTTCATTTTTCATTCTATATATTCGCAGCACACGCACGGAATTCTGCTACTTCCGATCCGTCCCTTCTGGTCTTCCTCGGGGACGCTAAAGGTCCGACCGGGTGGCACTTTAGACCACCAAGTTTCCTCCTGCACATGGGCTAGCAGTCTGCCCTGCGTTCCACTCTCGTGCATGGGCCGACCCACTCCGCGGCTTGCGCGCACTCGTGATTTGTTCGGAACTCTGCTACTTCCGTGAAACACGCAGCACACGCACTCGTGTTTCATTTTTTATTTTTCCTTCTTCTATATATTCGCACACGCAGCACACGCAATCGTGTTTCATTTTTCCTACTATATATTTGGAACACACGCACGAAACTCTGCTACTTCCGATCCGTCCGCTTGTGTGCACAAAAATGAAAAGGAGAAATAATATTTATTATAAAATATAAAAAGCAAAAGTAGTATGCATGAAAGGTTGAACACCAGACCCGTAGATTGAGAAAGTCATTCTTTACCACTACACCATGTAACTGTCTTATTTAATAAGTTGTGAAAATTTATATTAATAAACAATCAAACCATTTAAGTCAAAGAAAAAAGTGTTCCACTTTTACAGAAATAATGTTCCATACCAAAATGTAGTATTGGACATCTCATGAAATAAAAAAGCTACCGACAGAACAAAATATGAGCAACCAAAAATAGCGAGTTAGAAGGTCAAACACGAGACATTGTCCTATTATCGCACATCGACCCTGCCATCGACAACACTGCATTCTCCCAAGGCACTTGCCTATCCCGCGTCCCAAGCAAGGCGAGGAGATATCGCTGGCAAGGAACCTCGTGCTACACACGAGGTGCCTCTGTCTATGACAGCACATATGCATAGCAAGTGTTCGATGCTTTGCCTCTATGAGATTCTTACGAACTAGATATCGAGAATTAGGCAGAGAAACAAAAAGGAATCGGAGTAAGGCAGGAAGAGCAAAGCATAGGTTTGGGGATCAGATGAGTTGTTCTTGCAGAAGCATGGGGTTTGTTATAATTGTAATTGGTTGATGATCCCTCTCTCACAGCTAGCCTATTACAAATAGCATAGAGCTCTACTCTTGCAGCCAGCAGACAGCCAACGAATCACGCCATCGCCCACATGTCTCCGCTCACGCGTGTGTTAGGAAGCCTAGGCCTTGTGGACCTCCTGGGCTGCAGCCCGTTAGCCACTCCTCTTGCCGGACAAGGAATAGTTGTTGAAGCAGTAGTAGCAGGCATAATATCCCCCCTTCCTTGCGTGCCGGGATGGCTCCAGACAGTGGCGCAAGGGAATTGCTACCAAAGGTACTCTAGGTCCTCCCAAGTAGCAAGTGACACAGGTAAGTTAGACCACTTAACGAGACCTTGAAGGATGGAATGCGTACCATTGGTGATGGTGCGTTGCTGAAGAACACGTTCAGGAACACTCCAAAGCACATCATCCAAAGGTGGAACTGCTGTAACTGAATGGCGAGCACTCACCGCCTTCTTCAACTGAGAAACATGGAAAACCAGATCAACCGATGAAGAAGCTAGGAGCTCAAGTGAATATGCAATGGTACCCACACGAGCTGTGATGTGGTAAGGACCAAAGAACTTGAACGCAAGCTTTTGATTGTTGTGCTGAGCCAGAGAAGCCTGCACATATGGTTGGATTTTGACATAAACTCTGTCTCCAATCTAAAATTGCCGCTCTGAACATTTCTCATCCGCTTGACGCTTCATACGCTGCTTGGCGCGATTCAAATGTAGGCGAATCACTTCAGTCATCAACTCTCGATCAGCCAGTCAAGAAGTTAAGTTAGTGACAGGTTGCTTAGAGTCGACAGCCACACCAAACTACCGAGGAGAATAACCATAAAGCACCTCAAAAAAGGAACGATTAAGCGCCGAGTGCCAGCTTGTATTGTACCAATATTCTGCTTGATCCAGCCACTGCTTTCCACTGCTTCAGACAGGCTTGAAGAAAGCAACACAAAAAGGTTTCAAAACACTAATTCACGCGCTCAGTTTGCCCATCGGACCGAGGGTGATATGCGGTGCTCAGACGAAGCTCAATGCTAGCCAACTTGAACAACTCACGCCAAAAAGCACTGGTAAAGATTAGGTCTCGATCAAAGACAACCGCCTGAGGAAGATCGTGGAGTTTGTAAACATTGGAGAGAAAGCTCTAAGCCATAGAAGCAGCTGTAAATAGATGCTTGAGACTAACAAAGTGTGCATACTTAGAAAATAGATCAACCACCAGTATACAAGTGAAACCCCCAGAAGCCAAAAGACCCTCGATGAAATCAAGAGAAACAACTAACCAGGCGTGATCAGGGACCGGGAGTGGCTAAAGAAGGCCAGGGAGCTTAAATCGATCTGGCTTGGCCTACTGGAAAATCTCATAAGAAGACACATAAAAATGGACTGCTGCCTTCATTCCACTCTAGGTGAACAACTAGTTGAGCCAATAGTAAGTGACTGACACGCTTGAATGCCCACCTATCGGGGTTATAACCCTAGGGTGTCTCAAGGCACCAATTAGTTAGTAGGCCAAGTGGCCCGCAAGATAGCTAGCGAAGGCCCAAATAATCGAGGCCCAGCTAGGCCAAGCAAACCAGGCCAGACACCAAGGCCGAGGGCGGCCACGACCCCTCCCTCTTGCCTTAGCCGCATGACACTCGATAGGCGCACGACCTCCTCCCCGTCCTGACCCTTGGGAGGAAATGGGAGATGTCAAGCCCAGCCAAACGTGCCCGCTCTGACAGGAGCAGGCACACCGCACTAACCCTGCAAGGACTGAGGGGACAACAGTCACCTCAGTTCAGTTAGACACCACCTCTGCTTCACGCAATCCAGACAAGACAACACCGCCCAAGATGGTGACGGCAGGTACGATGACCACCGTCCAAATACGACCCGACAAGACGCATGTATGATCCTACCCACTATGGGATGGGATCCATGACGAAGGCCTTGATTTAGAGGCAAGCCAGACTAACGGGAGCCACGACCCCAACGATCGGGATCATGGCCCTCAGCTCCAGAAGCCAACTAGGCGATCAACGACCTTAAGGCAGCTATCAACTCCTGTACGATGCCCTAGGAAAC